TATTACGGTTCATAAGATACAGCCTACTGACAGACAGACTGAATGATAGTGGAGACTTGGGTCCCGTTGATACTCTTTGGGTACGGAACCCTAATAAACGGCAATTATGTGATTTGAGCAATACTACAGTAATAAACATAATATAGAATTAGGTTACAATAAATTCACATATAAAAATCTCAGCCACGGGGAACTTTATTTTTGCATTCGCGGCAACACTGAATAGCGTCATTGATATTTTGTGACTTATTTATGGCTCGTGTTATTTTATGTTAAAATTTCGAAATTGTATGATACTTAATGATAGTATGTGATTCCAGTGTCTTTCTTATTTCTTGTAGTATTATTTTTACAGTTTCTATACGTAAACTGGTATTTTACTTCGGATTATGATCAAAATTTAATAAAACATTCGGTGCGCTCACCTCACACGTTGCCTGCAACGTGAATGGCTCCGGTACGCTGATTTCGGCGTAGTATTTGTTGCCGCATTTTACATGAGCGCCGGCGGTATCTAGTCAGAGCGCGCGATGACTTATCATAAAAACTATGATCACAACGTTATTTTTTTAATCTTACCATAAAGTAAAGTTAGGCCTGGTATTTTTTTTGTGATTATTATATTTTCGTTATCAGTACTTTTTCACAAATTTGGTGTTTGTTTTATTTGTATTTTCCTCTGGATAACAACAACAATAATGCTAAATTTAGTCGCCGAAACAAAAGAGACAAATTTCTATATCGTGGATCTATCAGAAATGGTCTTCGAACAACTTTTTTTTATTAGTAAGAAAAAAGTAGAATAGTGTAAAATAATTTAAATTATTTATTTACAAGCGCAAACACACTATTTAAAAAGAGTGACAAAGTATTTCTCACTCTCTAGGTGTGCTATTTTTCAACTTCTATCTTGGAGAATGGTGACGTAAGCTCTACATTAAACTGCACACTTGTTGATATCGCGTAAGTTTCATTGGTTATTTACCAACAAAGTGATAGTATGTTTATTAAACTGTATAAATAAACTTGTTTTAGCTTCGTTATAAACTTTGATATTAACGGTGTTGCAATACAATCATCAGCAAGGTCGTCTATCGTCGTAATGACCGTTGAGTCGAAGGGTAACGTAGCAGCCACGCCTCACATAATTCAGTATCGGATCTAGAGCAGGCGCCGGTGTCCGTTTTGTTTGCCAGTGAAGAACCTTGTAGCCGCCCTTCTGCATGCGCTTAGCAATATGTCAAAGCAAAGCTGTAGTGTACACAGTGCTTATTACAACACCGAAGACGCAGTAGTTTTTTTTAAATATCGAATCCGGAAAACTATTATGTTGTTATAAATTTATGTTGTGTAGGATGTTGTAACATAGAGCGAAGCAAAATTCGATATACAACAAAGATTTTTTGTTTGCGTAAAAACATTAATAAAATAAATTCACCATCCGCGATATGTTTAATTTAACAACAAAAAAGGACATTTTTTTGTCAAAGTGTAATAATAATGTACTAGCTGGTGATTATTTGTCTATAAAATTCGTTATTTATTTCTATCGTATGTTCCGTTTTTACAATTTATTTAACCACACTACGGCTCTAGGGCTGCACCTGCAAATAGCACATGTTCGCCTAGTGTTTCATAAGTAACTTATCCAAGAAGAGAGCACCTGACTCCATATTACGGAATATGCATTATGTTTTAGCTAATAAATCTAAACTGAAAATGAGACAGCCTGATAAATATGTTAAAAATTAATTAGCTAAGATCTGCGTAACAACAGCCGCCCGCGTTCAATTCCCGGATTTAGGCTAGTTAATTTTTAACATCTTTAATATATAATGGATTTCCGCAATGTACCGCCTGATTTTATTAATTATGAGACTGCTTACACAAACTTATGTTTGATGAAGAATGTGGAAACTAAAATATTCATTCGGGTTCTATGATAGTCCGTTCAAAGCGATGTACGCTAAGCCAGGGGCGAGAACAAGGGACGAGGAGCCACGCTTACGCCACCGGCTATTGCGCCCCCACCCTACACGGCCGATTCTCATTTCCGTAATAATTGCATCGCCATGGAAACAAACGATGGGATCCATATTCCTCTTCATTATTGAATAGAATAGAATCACTTTTATTCTATATAGATTACAAGAATACTTATTGAAAGAAAGTTGAATCACTGGTTCAACTAAAACAAAAACCTCTGTCCTGGGAAGAACCAGCAAGTAACCCTGCAAGACTTTTTTACCATCAATTTGCAATATATATTTTATACAATTAATTATGAAAACATTTTAAAATAGTATGGTAGCGATCACCTCATTCCCAGGGGTTATTATCAACCAAGTACATAAACAAAAAATGATAATTACTTTTCCAGATTAAAAGCTTGCAGTCTAGATATAATATAATAATTATATTCTATCGTGATATTGGTGACTCAGTGTTGTAGATCAATAACTAAGGATTGAGATTAACTATTACTGATTGCATCATGTGCTATGCTTCATAGTACCCAATAATAGTAAATGGGTAAAAAATTATTTTTTGAAGTTCCGTAAGTCTTAATAATTTTACACGTTCTTATTACAATAATTTTTTTGGATATAATTATGAGCAATGTGACGATGTCCTAAAAATCCACTATGCTATCACATACCATAACTGTTGTATACAAAAATCTTAAAGCAAGATGGTATTTATTCAGTAATCAGATTCATAGTGTTAATGTATGTATTCCACTGCTATGCTATTGCGGCTATACGAGTGTTTAATTAAACGTAGTGATTATACTAGTATAGTAAATAAAACTTGAATTTTAATGAAATATACTTAATAACAATTTTTTTTCATTGCAATACGAAAAATAATAAATAAATTGCGGTTATACTAAGGTTTTCATTGTCCAACGAAAATTAAAAAGGGTTAGAACGAGAGCGCAGTGTACCGGAAAAACTTTGTGCGAATTAGGAGAAAGGTGGTTTCTCGAACGTGTCTATTGCATTCTACGTTGCCTACGAAACTCGCTCGACATTCAATAGAGTTGAATTAAAAAATTGTTACGTCAGTTATGTGGCATGTGAAAGTTAGTGCTGTGCTCTATTTTAAAGCTATAGAATATAGATAATAATAATCAACGTGTTTAAAATTTTCTACGAATCGCAAAATGCAAAATATAAAGTTGAAATGTGTATTTTTAAGTTTTTACTTTAAAATGGCTCAAGAGGTCGGAGGGCTTCATTTCACAGTGAACAATTCTAGTGTCGATTCTCGATTTTTTTTTACATGCCAATTAGACGTGTTGGGAGGGGAAGGCTGATATGATAAACAAACTTACATATCCTAACTACAGAAGTATTTGACAATGCTTTGTGAGAATTCAAAAAAATATTTATGTTCTTTAATACGGAGTGGAGCCGTGTTTGCTTTGCCAGTCTTAGTATGCTAAACATAAGCATCTTCTATATCATACATGCGGGGATCTCTCTCAGAACCCGAAGTTGGGTTGCATCTCCGACCATGCAACCTGTCGTGTATCTGTCTTTTAACTTTATACGAGATTTTTATACTGCAATCTATAAGAGGCCATAAGAAACCCGGTGGTTAGGGTTTCTTTAAGCCGCCTGTACCGACAACAACAGATGGGCTTTTAATACTTTCTGCCGCCAACTATTGATATAAAATGAGAGGTCTTTGAGCATATATATCTTTTTGAATGAATTAAATCTTCATTGAATATATTCGCAACATGATAATTGTGAAAAACTTCAAAGCACAATAGTTTATTCTTGAGTAAATATATAATTAAAAAAATTATAATAGAAGTGTATGAGTGTTAGTAGGTATGGTAGATATGACAAAGATATTATAGAGCGACGAGTGAACGTAGGACAGAGTAAATGGAGCTCTTCACTATATGGTGACCAAGCACAGTAAGTTGTGGGAAGTTAAACAGTTTAAAAAAAAAGGTACGTATGACAATTTACAATGCTGTGTTAAGTGCCTACCTTGGTTTGTTAGTGAAAGTTGGGTGTGGCAGAAGAAGCATGAGGTTGTTAAGGAGTATGTAAGGGTTGAAAGGCAGGGTAAGAAATTGTGAGATAAAAGAAAATTGTGGTTTGCAAGATGATGTTGTGACCAGAATTAAAAAAGGAATGCTTCGGTGGTTTGATAGTGTAGAAAAATGAGCGAGAAAATATTGGTAAAGCAAATTTATGTTGTAGAAGTGAGCGGCAGTCGGCAAAGGTCGCCCTAGACGGAAGTTTATCGACCAAATTGGTGACATATTGAAGATGGGCCAGATTAAGAGTACCCTTAACCGACGAGCATGTATGCGTAATGTAAGGAAGCGAGAGATGTGCGTCAGGATCGTGCCAAATGGCAGTCTGTAAACTCTGCCCTCTTCTGGGTGACAGGCGTGAGTGTATTAAAATGATTTCGCGAATAAAAACACATTCAATTAAATTTTATAGCGTTTAATTTTAACTTTTTCATTCCAGACTTTTCGATTGCTTTATAGCACCTATGGTCACGGGACTAAGGTGTTTGACCTTCAGCTTTTGAATATTAATTTTTAGTTCAATCTATGCAGAATAAGCTTACAGTATCTTGAAGTCTCGCAGTAGTATGCTTGGGTTTGGGTTGGATTTAATTTTATTATATATAGGATAATCCCAAGTGATTGTAGTCACCCATACTTCTTCTCTATTGAAAATATGATGTTTTTAATTGCAATAGCCTCGCGAATCATCTTTGGTAGGAATCGGTATTCTATATTGAGGATTTGTGGTCTATCAAATATGATGTAATGGCGGGGACAATCTTGAACATGTCCACTGATTGTAGACTTCCCGGAGCGTCGGTACTCCACGTTAGCTATACGTTCATCGGGAATTAAGTTAGAATTAAACGTGATAAAATCCCTAAAATTAGTTTCATTTATTATAATTATGTGTTATGTATTGGTGTGATGTGGTGGTGCTGTGTGCTTGGGGCCCTACCTGCGCGGCGCTGTGCGGCGCGGGCGGCAGCTGCGCTGGCTCGTCTGCCGGCAGCCGGACGCCCGTTCGCTTCATCATGGCCGCTCACTGCGGGTCCATCACACCTCACCTGGAACGCACCAAACGACAACCCTTCAAATCAATCCACACCACTCCACTGTCAACCCCCCCCCCCCCCCCCGGCTCCATCCTCTGTTCCGTTCCGCAATAATCTCCACTGAATCCCTATCCACGGTTCCTAAATTTGGGGGATAAATAAGTGGGATGGGATTTTTGAAGCCTTTACATTTTCAGGGACTTTTATATTTGTTTCCACTTAGCTTATTTTTGTTTAGAAGTTTACGACGATTGCGCCGCAGCTGGCTGTAAGTGATTTGAAAATATCTCAAAATTCGTATTTACTTTCTTTAGGGGATTTCCTAGTAAATTCCAAAATATTTTAAAATTTTTGACAACCTAGATATATGTGAATAGAATAGAATAATTTTTATTCAATATAGATTATTACAACATGATCCTTATGGAGTCATTTTTTTATTTACCACTTCGTTCAGAAAATACCTCTCCCCTAGGAAGAACCAGCATGAACCCCAGCGGGACTTTTTTGTTTGTACAAATTTTAAATGAGTTTTAATAGAACCAGCATGGTGGCGATCATCTCATTCCCCTGGGGGTTCTTCACTTATGGATTTTTTGATATTATAATAACCCTTTTTGTGCTTTTTTCTTAACAAATTTTGTAAATTTTCTGGAGTTTGTTGCAAAAGCGTATACATTGCCCCAAAATGAATTACTGGTATTACAAGCTTATTTATTCCTAGTGTTTAAATTATGAACATCTTTTATTCTTATCAAAGCTATTTATGTTTTTATGTAGGTACATACATTACATTTTCATAAATATAAATATTTTTTTCAGTTGGAAACACTGCTACTGCCCGTGGGTTTCATTTTCAAAACAACTCATCTTCAAAACGATAGACATGTCAGATTGATTATTAGATTTTACTTGTACAGTTCTACAGCAATAATAACAAGAGGTATAAGACGTCAAATGCCAAATATTGAGGCATTTTGCAAAATCTTACAACTTACAAAAACTTCTCTTCGGATTCTGTTAAGTGTTAACTTTTTAATGTCATGACTACAAAGAAAACTTAACGCAATACAAACAAGTTATAACAAGAAAAACGTAACCAAAAACTTAAATGCGATAAAATAGGGTCGAATAGTGTTCATATCATTCGTCACTGGTCTGGTTATGCCACGTTTCCTCTCAAAGTCTGCACATGTCGAGAATAACCGCGTGTTTGATTTAACCATACACAAATGCACAATCATGATTGCGCGTAGTCGTTATCGAGTGGATGAAAAAATATAATATAAAAATATAAGGTAATATCGCAGTAAAATCACGTAACGTCTGTACTTTAATTATAGGTACATTTGTCGATATACACAATGTGGAAACACAGAATGTGATTCAAGTTACTTAAGATTCACTGACACATGGCTAGTTATGTAATAAGAAGCAGGATTATTTACTATACTCTATAGTAAAAATTTAAATTAAACTAAATCATCACTTGCCGTAAACGAGATATAGATTTTTCATTGTATGACGTCATCACACTCCACGATGCGTGGGCCGCGCTAAATTAAGTATGAAATTGTACAAATCGAACGCATCGTGCATCCAAGTAAAGCACACCACAAACAAATAAGATTACGTAACCGAAGTATTGAAGATAAGCTTAGGAGGGCTATCTTTTAAACTATATAGGTACATCGAACATTTTAAACAAGTCGAATACGGATTCCTTAAGCCGAGCCACTCACACAGGTTTCGATGGGGAACCGGTCTGACGCTAAAGGCGATGACACAAACTCGCATTTTATAGCGAAAAACATACACAAATCGATAACACATAAGCTTACGTACACAAATATTAACTGGCATAGTATCTTTCGACAAATTTACATACAACAATAATTGACATCCCGCCTTTTGATACGACACGTTCAGAAGTCAAGTACATACAAGTACCTATATACTTTAGGCGCGTTCACGGTACAAGTCTTGGAGAAAATATTATTATTTCCACAATGAATCATAGCGGTGTCTTTTAGGCTTCTGCAACAATAGTCTTTCAGAATAGAGCGGTAAAGTCTGGTTTACAATATATCGAGTAAAACGGGGGCATCACAGCGGCATTCGTCACCGATATAGAAAATGGGTATAAAACAATAGTTAAATAGTGCCCCTGAATGAAAGAAGTAAAACAAAATGAAGTTATAACGGCGTTACAGCAACGCGAATGTCGTCTATATACCTACTTGGCGATAATAATGTGATATTAATAGGACAAAAGACTTAAATTGATACATACCAATAAAATAGTTTCTTCAACGCGATGATTTTTCTATATGGCTTAATAACTCCAGAGTAACTCAAAAAAACTAGCGTAGTGCAAGAATTGGCGATAAAAGCGTCGCGACATGCTCTGTACAAGTACATTCGTGCGCCTCCAAATAGCGCAACGGCGCAACTTTTTCGAGCGCGGCGTCAACACGGTCAGGTGGGCGAGGTTGCGACACTGCCATATTGCTGTCTTCGTTACACTCGGATATCTCTCTCCTACAGCGCCCTCTCTTTTCCGCCTGTGCTGGCATATCACTTGGAATAGAAGACCGAGCGGAAACATTCGCGCACAAACGTCGCGCACCGAGCTGCGCCACCGACTGACTGCCAGCAGAGACCAACCTAGGTTTGGAACTAGATCGGCCCGCTCTCGAGCCCGGAGCCCCGCGAAGAATGGCAACGTCGCCATCGAATAATAGCAAGCGAAACGGACGTGCCGATATGAAATGCCACGACCGACGGATTTTAACGAAGGTGGTAGACCAAAACAAATCTCCTTTCTCTAAAATTATACAACAGTAGTGGACTGAATTGAAGCCACACCTGGGCGCAATATACTGAATAAATAAGCCCGTTAAATATTTCGAATGAAATTATTTAGTGCTTTTAAAAACCGTAACCAGTAGTACCTACGTCGAATGCTAAATTGTGGTACTGTGATATTAACATAATACATAACGATGAACGAAAGATGGTACGATGGATGGTCTTATCGCTCTGGAAGTGATTTCTACATTTTTACGCAAAGAACTATAGTCTACATACATGGCGAAGGAGTAATACATAATTAAACAATTAATTTAAAAACAAAAAAAAACAATACAAAAGATTATAATAACAGTTGAAGTTGAGGATAATAATTAGGATAGAATGCAAGAGAAAGGGCTTCTTAGAAATTACAATTAAAAGGGAATAACTTCCCGTATGTAAGAAAATGTTAGCTCAAAGTCGAATATGTAAAGGTATGGAGTTAGATGCGGTCCTTCAAGTAAAAGGAAGTGTAGAGATTAAACAGTCTGTACACTGTTCAATCCCTACACTCAGAAAGCAGCAACGCAGAAAGTATAAGAGTATTCCCATGAAAGCAAATACGAATACCACTTGAACGACTCCTAGATTTTTTTAAAATCTGGTAGTTCCAATGTAATGTGCCCCGCTAATTTTAGACCTATTTCTGTATTACAGACTCAGTAAATTTTTTGAAGATAATTTTATAAATCCATTGTTAATTTTTTTAATAAAAATAAATTACTCCATAAAAATCAATTTGGTTTCACAATGGATCGCTCGACGACTGACGCAGGTGTCGAGCTTATGAAATATATTTTTAACACCTGGGAGAGTTCACAAGATGCCTTAGGTATTTTTTTAGCAAGGCTTTCGATTGTGTTATCATGAGATTTTAATCAGGCAACTAAAACATTACGGCGTCAAAAATATTGGGCTTAGACTTATTATTTCATATTTAAAAAACAGAACTCAAAAAGTCGTTAACAATGGTAAAGGTTCTTGCCGATCCGTAATATCAATGGGCGTACCTCAGGGCTCAATTCTTGGCCCATTCCTGTTCTTAGTCTATATTAATGACTTACCATATCTTGTAGGGGACAATCCTGATATAGTATAATTTGATGATGATACCTCTTTAATTTTCAAACTCAAACGACAGTCAATTTTGACAATGTAAATAATGCTCTTAACATGGTAGAGCCATGCTGCAGCTATATATTAGTAGTATAGTTGTACACAGAATACCAGCGTAAAATAGCAGCTTAACACTGCTGTTTCGTATGGTGAGTGTAGAGAACCGGAGACCCTTTTTACTGGAAAAGAGGCATTCCATCTTAGTCCTCACGGATGACAACGCATCTGCATTTTGATTCTTTAATGAGGATAGATGTAGATGTCTATGGGTCAGAGCAACCACTTACCATCATGTAGACTGTGTGCCCGTTTGTCACCCTTCCTTATAAAAGAAGCTCTATTATCGAAGTTAGTACATTGGTTTAACGCCAACAATTTGCTCTTAAACGGCAATAAGATAAAATGTATTAAATTTACAATACCTAATGTTAAACATATAAATACCAATGTGTTCTTAAATGGGGAAGAGCGAGTCTTGTGGACACCACTGTTTTTCTTGGTAATTACTATTACGCAAAGCTTCAATGAGGTCCCCATAATATGTAAATTAGCAGGCAGACTTATTTCTGCAGCATATGCTGTAAGAAAGATTAAAGTCTCACTAATGTTGAGACAGCTAGATTAGTTTATTTCAGTTGCTTTTATAGCGTGATGTCGTCTTATTGAATTTTGCTATGGGGTGATACGACTGACATCGAAGTTATATTTGTTACAAAAGAGAGCCATACGGGCGACTTATAACTTAAATTGTAAAGAGTCTCTTATAGAACAATTTAAAGAAATAAACATATTAACTTTGGCATCGCAATATATTTATAAAAATGTAATGTATGTATGTATAAAGATGGTCATACTTTAAATACCAGTTACTAGACTCCACAGAATTAGTAATTCATTTATAGGGAAATGTATACGCTTTTACAACAAAATCCCAGAAAATGTACAAAATTTATCAATAAACAAGTTTAGATGTTTTATTAAAGAAAAATTGTACGAAAAGAGGTATAAGTGAAAAAAAACTCCTGGGAAAGAGGTGATCGCCACCATGCTGGTTTTATTAAAACCCTTATAATTTGTACAAACAAAATGAATGTAAAGTGAAATATGTTTAAAAAAAGTTCTTTGCTAGTTCTTTCCAGGACAGAGGTATTTTCCGTACCAGTGGTAAATCAAAATGACTGACAAGTATTATGTAATAATCTATATTGAATAAAAATTATTCTATTCTATTCTTAAATTGATCACTAGAAGAGATGCAAATGCCATGATAAAAAATCAGTGGTTGGTGAAACAAAACAACTATAGCAACTAAATCTAAAATTATCAATAATTATAGGTTTAATTTTCGTTAATGGATCCATACGACTTACGTCAGTCCAAAATACAAGTCAGCAGTTGTTTCGTTAAATCTTCCAGAGAAAATAAAGTGCAAATTTAGAGATCGTCAGCAAACAAGAAACGGTAAGAAGAAATGTTTTTATCTATATGAAAATTGAAAACGAGAAAGAGGCAACACCATGTGGAATGCGGGGAATAGTATTAGGCCATGTAGAAAAGACAAAGAACTTATTTACCTCGTCACATCGTAAAAGTAATATTTGTTATTATGTTAAGAACATCGAACATGAAGGCATAATTTCTGAACTTTTATAGATTAAGGAAATGAAGGCGGAAGGAAATAAAATGAAGCATTTCAGTCAATCATCATAATTACAACCCTTCACAAGTCCACTGCTGAACATGGCCTCCCCCAAGGAATGCCATAAAGCACGGTCCTGAGCCACCTGCATCCACTGACTTCCTGCATGTCTTACCAGGTCGTCATTCCATCTAGCGGGGGGGACGCCCTACACTTCGCCTGCCGGTACGAGGCTGACACTCGAGAACAGTTCTTCCCATCGGTTGTCGGTTCTTCGAGTTATATGGCCGGCCCATTGCCAATTCAGCATGCTAATTCTTTGGGATATGTTGGTTACTCTGGTTCTACTGCGGATATCCTCGTTTTTAAGTCGATCACGCAGAAAAACGCCGAGCATAGCCCTCTCCATAGCTCACCGAGCTACTTTGAGCTTTCTCATACGACCAACAATGAAGGACCACGTCTCAGTTCCATAGGTCATCACTGGCAACACGCACTGATTGTATTGTTTCAGTCAATATTGACCATAAATTGAAGCTGAAATTAAGATTTTTTAACCTAAATTGAAGTTTTTAGTCTAGACGGAACAATGACCTACATAACAAAACACCCCGAGATAAAGGAAATTGAAAGAAAATACTAAATAATAACTTTGTAGTAGTAAAATATTACATCTGAGGAGCATCTAGGGAAAGTAGAAAAATGAGCTGTTACAGTTGCATACTCATGCAGATGAATGTTTTTTTTTTTAATTATCGTGACTATGGTGACCTAATGTATTATTTACTTGATTGTTCTTCTATCTCTACGCATTATTTTTTCATATTGTTATTCGTGGTACTGCAACACCACACAGCAGAAACTGCAAAGTTCAAATAATATTTAATTTATAAAATTTTAACAATCTTGGACAGAGAAACATACTACATAGTTACAACTTCCGTGAAGAAATAAATGACTAAATTAAACACCTTGAATGCATGAAGTGACACGATTCAATTACATATTGTAATAAATATACAAAAACATGTAAAATTACTTTAAATTTTTTCAGGTTTTCAATTCACAATATGAAAATTATACACTGACATCAAAACAATTGAACAAAACTAATATAATTATAAGAATTTCTAATAAATATTAGGAGGAGAAAGTAATGGGGTTAGATGTTTCTATTAATTATTGCTCAGAATTCCGGCAAACTACTGTCGCAAATGCAATGTCGTTTCGCCGTGTAGTGGTCGCATAAGGAATTTCCTTACCCCTTATTATCACGTGGATGTTGGTAAGAGGCTACAGAGAGAACCTGTAACAGGGACGGGCAGCACATCTGCCACGTTCGGAGGCTATTACAATATTCCCACCATGAAGCAAGCTATGAGGGAGACCTGTGTCCCTCCAAGTGGTCTTTTGATAAGCTGTAATGAACGAATCAATTGACCTTACGTAATTTTCTATGACCATGATTATATTATATCCTATATAATAGTACGTTATAATATAAAATGTAGGTAACCTGATATATATTCATAATTCTCGTAAAACATATTGTAGGTCTAATTCTATTTCCAACAAATATTCGCTTGTTACGAGCATAGCAAATGTCCAAAATCATCGTTTGTGATCAGGGGCTGAGGTTCTAAAATGTTTCACAAATTATTTTTCAATATATTTGCTACCGTGGTTTTTGCACCAAATTATGCTTAATTCACTTGCTGAAGTCAATCCTGTCTTGTGAAATTACATTCGCGACCAAAAACGCGACAAGTGCGGGCATGTCGATGAAAGCGCTTTCCAAATTTTGGGATAAGGATAAGATGTATATATTTTAGGATATTTTCCGAGTCTTTGTTACATCGGTGCTTTTTCAAACTTTACATAATAATTTATAAAAAAGCGGCAAAGGGATCTATAATGAGCAAAATCCTAAGTTCGCTTGTGTGTGAAGTATCGACGCTAACAGCAAGTTTCGATTTTTGTATAGTACAATTTTCAGTTTTTTTTTTTTTATATATAGATAAGCAATGTGCAGCAATTTCACGCAGCGTATGGCGATTTAAACCTAAT